CATAAACCCTAGAAGCAGAGCGGCCCGAGCTCCGGAAAGGCGGAGTCCGTTCCCGGGAGAGGGGCTCCGGGGACGGAGAGGAGGAAAGGGGCCCGGCCTGGGGGTCGCTCCCTGGTTTCCCCGGACAGACTCGGGCCCGGAGTCGGGGACGCGGTGCGACAACGGGCTCTCAGAGCAGGAGGAGGGATCGGGTCCCAGGTGCCCAGGTGCCCGGCCCGGCGCTCGGGGTCTCGGCCCGAGGGCGGAGTCTGGGCGGGGAAGCTCCGCGCTGGGGACTCCCGGCCTCCGGGTTTCACTTCTGCGTCTCCCAACCTGTCCGGTGGCCTTTTTCCCGGATACTCGTGACGCGGCCCCCGGTGCCTCTCTCATTGGTGGCCGGCGTCTGGAGGAACCAATCAGCGCCGCCGCCGCTCCCCGGTTATAAGTCTCCCCGGAGCCGCCCGGACGCAGTTTTCTCTCAAACCCCGAGGATGCGGGTCATGCGGTCCCCGAGCCTCCTGCTGCTGCTCTCGGGGGCGCTGGCGCTGACCGGGGCCCGGGCGGGTGAGCGCGGGGTCGGGAGGGGGCGGCCTCTGCGGGGAGGAGCGACCCCACCGCCCCGGACCGGACCCGGGATCCCGCCCCCGGTCCCCGTTTCCGTCCCCGCGACCGCGGACCCGGGCGGAGGGTCCCCGGTCTCACCGCGCCCCGCCCGCAGGCCCGCACTCCCTGAGGTATTTCCACACCGGCGTGTCCCGGCCCGGCGGCGGGGAGCCCCGCTTCTTCGCCGTCGGCTACGTGGACGGCACCGAGTTCGTGCGGTTCGACAGCGACGCCGCGAACCCGAGGATGGAGCCGCGGGCGCCGTGGATGGAGGGTCCGTGGGTGGAGGAGGTGGACCCGCAGTACTGGGACCGGAACACGCGGATCTGCAAGGAAGCCGCACAGTTTTACCGAGTGAACCTGAACAACCTGCGCGGCTACTACAACCAGAGCGACCACGGTGAGCGCGCGGGGCCGGGCACGACCCCCACCCCGCGGACGGGCGGGGTCGCCCCAGTGTCGGCGTCCGAGCTTCACCCCGGGAGGAGCCCGCGGGACTCGGGTTCGGTTTTTCGGTTTCGGTTTCGGTTCGATCCCCGCGGGTGGGGGCGGGTCGGCGGGCGGGGCTGACCGCGGGGCGGGGTCAGGGTCTCACACCCTCCAGGAGATGTACGGCTGCGACCTGGGGCCGGACGGGACCGTCCTCCGCGGGTACTACCAGTTCGCCTACGACGGCGCCGACTACATCGCCCTGAACGAGGACCTGCGCTCCTGGACCGCGGCCGACGCGGCGGCTCTGAACACGAAGCGCAAGTGGGAGGCGGCCGGTGCGGCGGAGCGATACGGAACCTACGTGCACGGCCCGTGCAGGGAGTCGCTCCTGCGGTACCTGGAGCGCGGGGAGGCGGCGCTGCAGCGCGCAGGTACCGGGCTCGCGGGGCGCCCCCGCCCTCGGGCTGGGCTCCGACGGGGAGACGGGACGCGGGACCCGGGTCAGAACCGCCTCTGCGTGGTCGGGAGGCCGAGTCCGCCCGGACTTTCCGACCCGGGACCGGAGGGCGACCCGCCTTCTCTCAGGGACGCTCGGGGGGCAGCCTCCCCGGGGACCGAGGGGACGCGCCCCGAGATGACCGGTCAGCGGCTCCTCTGACCCCGGCGGCGCCCCGGCCCGTGGGGACCTCGTCTCTCAGGCCCGATCCCGCCCCGCACCCGCGGGTCTCGGTGCGACCCCCGCTCCCCGCAGCCACGTGCCCACCCCCCGCGTCTGGACCAGAAACGCTTTTCTCCCTCAGACCGGCCTGCACCTGGGCTGAGTCCCTCTGGTTCTAGAACGTTCTACACACCAGGGCATCCCCCAGGTGCCTTCCAGGCTGGGTCTCCCGTTTGCACCCCCCGCCCGTCCTGTCCAGTCTCGGGACGGCCACGGGAGCGCTGCGGGACTGCCCCGCGGCCGTGGGAAGTGCCCGACTTTCCGACCCTTGTCCTCAGACCCCCCAGAGGCACAAGTGACCCGCCACCCCACCTCTGAGCGGGAGGCCACCCTGAGGTGCTGGGCGCGGGGCTTCTACCCTGCGGACATCGCCCTGACCTGGCGGCGGGACGGGCAGGACCAGACCCAGGACACGGAGCTGGTGGAGACCAGGCCCTCGGGGGACGGGACCTTCCAGACGTGGGCGGCCCTGGTGGTGCCTCCCGGGGAGGAGCAGAGATACACGTGCCACGTGCAGCACGAGGGGCTGCGGGAGCCCCTGACACTGCGATGGGGTGAGGAGGGGCCTCCGGGGACTTCAGCGGGGTCGGGGCGGGACCCGGGGGAGCAGGGCCTTCACCTTCCTGTCCCTTTGCAGAGCCTCCTCCTGAGACCAGCACCATCATCATCATTGTGGGCGTCCTCTGTGGCCTGGTCCTGCTTGGAGCTGTGGCTGCAGCTGTGATGTGGAGGAGGAGGCGCTCAGGTAGGGACGGGTGGGGTGTGATTTGTCCCTCCCGGGGTCTCAAGCCCAGGAGACCCCCTTCATCAAAGGGAAGCATCGTCTTCACTCCTGTGCTTGCCAGTCTGGGGCCCTACTTGCTACAGTGACTGGTTAGGAAGGCACGTGTGAGATAAAGGACAGATTTGTCACCCTGATGATTCTGGTGATGGGGACCTGGCTCCCAAGAGTCACAGGTCCAAGGGGAGGGTCCCTGCCGAGGACAGACCTGCAGGAGGGTGGTCGGTCCAGTCCCTGCACGTGAACCTCCCTCAGGTTTCCGGATCCTGCCCTGGGTCTGTAGTCAGAGTTCTGGAAACTTCCCTGGGGTCCAGCACCAGGACTTCCCTTGGGGCCTCAGGGCCCTGCCTCCTCCCTGGTGTCTCACAGGACGTTTTCTTCCCGCAGGTGGAAAAGGAAGGAGCTACGCTCAGGCTGCCAGTGAGTGTGGAGGGGGGACCCCTGAGACCCTGTGTCAGTCCAGACAGCAGCCCACGGGGGACCTCCCCCTCCCCTAATAGTTCCTCCTTTAGTCTCCTGTCCTGGGGCTCTGACCACATCCTGTTTTGTGCCACCCAGGCAGTGACAGTGACCAGGGCTCTGATGTGTCTCTCACAGCTTGTAAAGGTGAGGCCCTGACAGGGGGAGGGTTGGGTGGAGGGCATGAGTCTGGGCAATGGAGGGACTCTGTGGGAACAGCACAAGGTGGGCTGTTGGACAATGTCACCACCTACAGCCACTGATGGACATTTGTTCACGATTATTTTCTTGTCCAGCGTGAGACAGCTGCCCTGTCGGGGAATGAGTGACTGAAGGTTCCTCACACACCCACACCTGCCAGCCCCTGTTTGTCACTTCAGGGACATCTCACTTCTGCTTCTGCAACTGGCACCCGAATGTCTGTGTTCCCATCAGCTTCACTGGGAGGGGGAGGCGGGCCCACCCCGCCCACCAGCCCCCTCCCCACCTGTCCCTGCTCCAGCAGAGGGCCCGGCCCCCCAGCCCTGTCTGTGCTTCCTGGTGCCTGAGCTGCAGCTTCTCACTCCTTCATTGAAATGAGGCTCTGGCTGGAAATTTATTTTCTCAATGCTTGCCCTGAGTGGTTGATGTGTTAATTAAGAAGCTGAAGATACTATATTTGGAAATAAGTGGACTCATTGAGAAGTTTCCATGTGTTTGAGAAGAACCCATGTGTTTGCTGTGGTGGGGACGGGGGAAGCTGTGAGGACTGAGCATGGTCAGGCTGTGCCTGGTCGGTGCTCAGTGCATCGTGGGCTTTGATGTGGTCCTTCTCCGACTGGGTCGTCCTCTGCCCATTTGTTCTTGTCCCTTCAGTGGAACCTTGTCCCAGCAGGACCTGTGATCACAGGAACCCAGCATCACCCAGGCCTCGTAAACTGTCCCAGTGAAGCCCGTCTCCAGGACGGTGGGCAGCGAGGGCCGTGTGTGGCCGGGTCAGCCGAGGCTCAGGCCTGGGTCGGACCCTCAGCCCCATCTTCTGGGTCTTTATTTGTTGCGTGTTCATTTCTGCAGAGCAACACGACTGCGTTTGTCCTGTTAGGAGTCCTGGTCTCACTCTTCTCTGGGTGTCCCCTGCATGTCAGGAGCAGAGGTGTTTGCTTGTCACTGTCCCCACCAGGCCCAGGGGTCCTTGCACACAGGAGTCTGTGGTGCGGAAAGATGACTTGTCAGATTCATCCTGCTCTTCCCTCTAGGGCTTGGCCACTCTTTCATCTCTTCCTAAACTCTCAGAGAAACTGGGTTCTGGACTGAGCAGAGCTGACATCCACAATTTCCCATCTAAGATAATTCCCCATTGGAATTCCGCTCTGCTCGCCCGCCCTCCCCCTGCCCTTCAGTCCAGTGCTGGCTGCGGTGCCCACTCTGGGATGCACAGAGGGGGGTCTGGGGTGGATTTGGGGGAGCCGCTCTGTGGGGAAAGTGCGGGGCATCGATGTGGGTTTTGGGTGCACGTGGGGCCATAGCTGCCACAGAGCAGCTGTGATTGAGGCCACGTGAATACAGACACTGCCTGCAGCATAGGGAGGTGCCCTGCCCTGACCATTAATGACCAGTGGTGGCTGCGTGACAGATGTGTGGCACTGGTTTTGCCTGTGGGGACATCACAGAGGCACAATCAGGATCACTGTCAGCCTCGTGGGGCCTGTGCTGTGTGGGGAGACAGGGTGTGAGCACAGCACACAGGGCGGTGTCTGTGGGAGGGTAAGTGGTCTGGGAAGATATGGAGGGGACAGTTGTCCCCAGTGTGGGCTGTGGGGACAGGGAACGTGGGTATTTTATTTGGGTGGTCAGTGTGGGCCTCACTGGGGAGGTGGCCTTGAGGGAAGATTTGAAGGACAGGAGGCATCACCCACCAGGATGTCTGGAGGAAGTCCTGTCCAGGCAGGGGACCCTCAGTGCAAATACCCCGGGGACAGTGGGGTGTCTGGAGTCTGGGAAGAAGGAGGAGGGGTGGGGTCAGTGTGGGAATGGGGTGGGGAGTGATGGAGATGAGACAGAGGCACGGCCAGGCCACGTGGGCCTGGAGGACGTTGGAAGGGCACAACTGTGCTCTCAGTGAGGCAGGGGTCAGGGGACAGAGTGGAGCAGGAGGGGGACATGTCCTGATGTCCCCTTCAATGGGTCCCAGTGGCTGCTGTGCTGAGAGCAGACTTGGGAGGTGAGGGAGGCAGTGTGGACGCAGGAGGGGTCTGTGCCGGGCTCCAGGATGGAGATGCTTCCCGGGGTGAGTGTTGGGAATAGTGGGTGTGGGGGGACCCTGGAAACCTTCTGAGGGGGCCCTGACGGCCTTCCTAATGTTTAATGTGGGGTACGAGGGAGAGGAGTCCAGGTCACCAAACATCTCAGAGGACACAAGCAGAGAGAAGAAGTTGTGTCAGCAGAGATGGGGAGACTCTGGAAGCAGCAGATTTGAGGGGACGTCACAGCCGTTCATTGCCAGAGAATGTGGAGCTGAGACGTGTGTGAGATCCCAGGGAGTCGTCTGATTGGTGGTTGGACCGCTGAGTCTGGAGATGGGGAGATGTGTGGGCTGCACAGATAGACTTGGGAGGCCACACACACAAATGCTACTGAAAGCCGTGAGCATGGGCCAGGTCACCAAGGGGGTGACAGCTACAGAAGACGAAGGAGAAGGACTGAACCAGGGTCCCAGTGCTGAGTGATCTGAGTGGACCGCACACCAGAGCCGCCTGCACAGTCGTCTCTGTGTCTAGAAGGCTGTTGAGCACCGAGTCCCAGACTTTCTTGTGCCCACAAATTACCTGCACACTTTGTTAAGACTCAGGAAGTCTGGAGCAGAGAGTGGGATTCTGGATTTATAACAATGCTGGTGCGGCTGCTGCTGGTCCTCAGGTCGCACATTTAGCAGCAGGAACCCAGACCAGGATCCCACAGGGCTGTGTGTCAGCCTGTCCTGCAGGGCTTGTCACAGGAGTGACCCTGGCCTGGGGCCTAATCCCCTGAGACTCGGGTCTGGGAGGGACCTGGGGTTTGTAGAGACCTGGGGTTTGTAAGCAGCCCCACGAGCCATCCTGGGGATCAGCCAGGGTGGGACCACTGAGGTCAGTGTCGGAGGTCAGGGTGGGGAGGGGTCTTCAATGCACATTTAGTGGGGTTTTTTTCCTCATAAAGAAAAGGGAGGACGCTTGTGGCATCGAGATTCTGGGAAAGCGAAATGGAAGGGTTTGTGTCTAACCTAATGGTCTGCAATCTGGCCTACAGCGGGAAGCTGGACGAGTTGAAAAAGGAGATCCTGGCTGATAAATCCCTGGCTACTAGAACCAACCAGGACAGCAGAACTGCATTGCATTGGGCATGCTCAGCTGGACATACAGAGATTGTTGAATTCTTGCTGCAACTTGGAGTGCCAGTGAATGATAAAGATGATGCTGGTTGGTCTCCTCTTCACATTGCTGCTTCTGCTGGCCGGAATGAGATTGTAAAAGCCCTTCTGGGAAGAGGTGCTCAAGTAAATGCTGTTAATCAGAATGGCTGTACCCCCCTACATTATACAGCTTCCAAAAACAGGCATGAGATTGCTGTCATGTTACTGGAAGGCAGAGCTAATCCAGATGCTAAGGACCATTATGAGGCTACAGCAATGCACCGGGCTGCACCCAAGGGTAACTTAAAGATGATTCATATCCTTCTGTACTACAAAGCATCCAAAAACATCTAAGACACTGAGGGTAACACTCCTCTACACTTAGCCTGTGATGAAGAGAGAGTGGAAGAAGCAAAACTGCTGGTGTCCCAGGGAGCAAGTATTTACATTGAGAATAAAGAAGAAAAGACACCCCTGCAAGTGGCCAAAGGTGGTCTGGGTTTAGCACTCAAGGGAATGGTGGAAGGTTAAGGAGCTTGGATTTATTTTTACTTCATATGTTTTGTGGTTGTCTTCAGTGTCCTGGAAACAAATGTACTTGTGCATAAGACATCATCTACTAATATGAAGGTTTTTTCACCTTCAAAGTATTATAAACACTTTGGCTATTGTTTCTGCTGAGATGTTTCTTCCAAGCTTACAATTTGCTTTCCAAGCATTGAATAATGTTGAGATTGTTCTACTACTGTTGAATATAGAATGTTGGTTAATTTTGAATATGTAATTCTGTGGTTATTGTGAGACTTCATTACTCTCCCATGTACCCTGTGTCCTTCTTTGAGGCAGAACAACCCCATAGCCTCTGGCCAGTTGTTCTGCCAAATGTTTTTAAGTGGATTCTAGAATGTTTCTTCTGTACAATTGAAACACATCCTAACTCATTTTTCAAACTCACTCAGGCCTACACCAAATATTTCTGTGTTTTCAACACTATGTTTAATTTATTTTTGTTATAGGAGGAATACTTATATATTTTAGAGGACTATATTTTCAGTTGGAAGGCCTGTTCTCCCAAGGTTGTCATTCAAAGCCACTAAAATAGTGACAAATTATAGCTTATGTGCCCATGTAACTTTTTAATGTGCTATTTCCCTCCATAAAAAAGTGTTGTTTTTAAAAAGGAAGTTTTGAAGTACCTATATTGTCATCCTGTATTAAAAAGAATATAAATCTTGTTAACATGCTATTTACAAAAATGTACTTAGATTTGTATTTCAGAAACTAAAAAAATAAAATGTTGAGAGAAAAAAAAAGGGAGGACATATATTGTCATTAATGAGACATGATGTTGGGTGTCACAGTTGTTCTCTCTACCACGGGGTAGAGTCAGGTGGAAGGTTTAGGAGGCAGCCCCAGGTCAGCATAATAAAATCTGAGTGAAAACTGTTCCCCAGGTGTATTTCTTGGAGTGAACAATGGAATCCTAAGTTTTTCTAATTTAGATATAAAGCAGTGTAGTGGGTTCTAATGCCATTTTGGAGAAAGTCACAGAACAGATCAGAGGCTGCTCAGCCAGGAACCGCCCACAGCCCAGCCTGGGTCGGGTCCCACACAGGCCCCGCTGCCCTGCTGCAGGGCACAGATGTCACCGCTCACCCCACTGACTCCCCTGAGGTAGGACCCAGGGCCCCGCAGTCGGATGGCCCTGAGCCACACCAGCCAGGACAACACATGCTTATTTTACACAGATGGGTACAGGATAGTTAGTAGTCAAAAATTAACACTATTATAAAAATAGTGAGGGAATTTGTGGTCTCTGCTTTGGTGCTCTGGTGTGGTATCTGGGGTAACGTTGCTTTGAGGGGTCTGGAACACAGAAATTACCCAGACATTCCAAAAGTATGTTATTTGATTTTGTCAGGGAAGATCCTAGCCTAGGATGTGACTACCTGCCATTAACTGCTTTTAGTTAGTAAGTTTGAATTTCACATCACCGTTTGTGGTCACTTTAGGTCTCTGAGTTTGCAAGGCAGCCACACAGGCCTCCCCTGAGCTTTTCAGGTTAGTGTGTGGCCCCTTTTTTCACCCACAGACAAAGTTTCCACAGCATTAGGTTTGGCCGTGATGTCTTGGATACGACAACTAAGGCACAGATAACAAAGGAAAACCAAACAAATTAGACTTCATGAAAATTTACATTTTTTTAAGATTTTATTTATTTATCTTTAGAGGGGAGGGAGAGAGGGAGGGAGAGAAACATCAATGTATGGTTGCCTGTAGTTCATCCCCTGCTGGGAACTGGCCTGCAACCCAAGCATGTGCCCTGATTGGGAATTGAAGAACAATCCTCTGGTTCCCAGGACTGCACTCAGTCCATTGAGCTACACCAGCCAGGGCTGAAAATTCACATTTTTGTGCATCACTATTCACAAAGTAAAAAGACAATCCACTAAATAGGAAAAAATATTTGCAAATCATTTACCTGGTAATTTAACCCAGCAAACAGGGGCTCAGCCACATGGCACCTTGACACATAACCCAACAATCAGTGTTGAAGGAAACAGGTTTTTATTAACAGAGTTCCAACCTCAGAGGGGCTGAGAGCACTCCAACTCAGAACCCTCTTCACCCACGAGACCCAACACTTCCCCTACTCCCCAAAAGTCTACAAGCCAAAACCGTGCCAGGAAGTCCCCCATATTCTTTTCTGCCCTTAAGCTGGTCTTGCAGACAGACCCCCACCCCCCTGGAATGTGTGCCTGTGGGTTTTGGAGTCGACATCCCCTCGAGGCAGATCTCTCCTTCAGGATCTGGGGTACGCTGTTCTCGGCCTCCACACAGTGGTTGGGAAAACATGTGCCATGTTACACTAGGTCCTGGTGGGATCCAGGGAGGCACAGTCCCCAGAGAGTGGCTTGTCTGCACATCCTGCACAGAAGCAGAAGTCTGCAAGTCAGCGTTCCCAGTCACAGTTCCGCTCCGAGCATCTCCCACGAGTCCACACTTGGTTAGGCAGGCCCGCAGCTCCATCGGCTCTGCTGCCATCTTCTCCAGGCAGGCTTCCCAGCAGGCCCCTCCTTCTTACTCCAGACCTCGTGGGACGCTCTTCCTCAGGTGTCTCTCCCCTCCAGACCTCTTCTCCTCTGGTGACTCTCACCTACACACTCCAAACCTCATGGTAGATGCCCCTTCTCTTTTAGCCCTCCCTCTTTTAGAAGCTCAGCCCAGAACTGCTCATGTGACCTCATATCTGGCCCCTCCTATGGTGTGTTAGTGTCTGCCATTTTTGCCGGTTACCCCAAACTTTTACCTTTTGGGGGCTGCCATCTTTAGTCAGAGCAAGGGTTCCCAGTGACACACGGGCATCTAAGGCTGGCATCTACCTCCCCTGGTTAGAAGCTGAAGTCACTATATGCTCTTAAAGTCATGTACACCTGAGGGAGGCAGTCCTCTTTCCTTCAGGAAAGGCATGGCTCTGAACTTGCCATTGTTATGCAAGGATCTTAAATGCTGTATCTACCACTTCCCCCTTCCTCCAATCAAAGGTTGTGGGGGATACCTCTGCTATTTGCAGGGCAGCCCCCACTCTGTACCCCATTACAATTAGGGCTTAATATGCAAAATATATAGAGAACTTCTAAAATTCAACAACAGCCCTGGCTGGTGTGGCTCAGTAGATTGAGTGCCAGCCTAAGAACCAAAGGGTTGCCAGTTCAATTCCCAGTCAGGACACTTGCCTGGGTTGTGGGCCAGGTCCCCAGTAAGAAGCAAGTGAGAGGCAGACACACATTGATGTTTCTCTCTCTCTCTCTGTCTTCCTCCTTTCCCCTTTCTCTAAAAATAAATAAATAAAATATTTTTAAAAATAAGATAAAATTTAGCAACAACAAAATAAACACATTCGAAAATGGGCAAAGGACTTGAATAGATATTTCCCCAAAGAGGGTATACAAATAACTAGTAAGCACATAAGAACATGCTCAACATCACTAATCATTAGAATAATGCAATTCAAAACCACAGTGAGATACCACAGTCAGGGCACATACAAGAATTATTCAATGAGCCCTGGCTGGTGTAGCTCAGTGGATTGAGTGCCGGCCTTAGAACCAAAGGGTCGCCAGGTCAATTCCCAGTCAGGGCACCTCCCTGGGTCTTGGGCCAGGTCCCCAGTAGTGGGTGCACAAGAGGCAACCACACATTGATGCTCCTCTCTTTCTCCCGCTCTTCTCCTATATTTATCTTTATTTATTTAAGGATAAATAGAATCTTTTGAATAAATCATTTAATAAATGCATAAATAAGTGGAACAACAAATCAATGTTTCTCTCTACCCCCATCTCCCTCTCTCTTTCTGTCTCTCAAATCAATAAAAAAAAAAAAGTTTCAAAGAGAAGATATCAAGTTACTGAACAAGTTCTGTAGAATTTTTTTAAATAACAAAATAGATGTCCATGAATGAGCAGAAGAGCAAAGTGGCTATGATGTATTATGAAGAAACCAGTGAACAAAATGGAAAACAAAACTTAATAGAACTACTAGTTTAATTAGTAGAATAAACAAGTTCAGCAAAGTTGGAAGATACAAGATCAATATACAAAAATCAGTTGTTCAGTTGTATTTCGCTACACTTAGCAATGAACAATACAAAATGAAAATTAAGAAAGTAATTCCATTCACACAAGAATAA